GCTGAACCTTGGGTCTCGTCATGCTGCTTCCCTAGGATTGTAGCCGACATCCTCGTGGATTCATCTTCTTATTACAGACACATGCATTTCCTAACATTCGGTCTATATGCTGTAAAATGTATCACTAGGCCACCAGGGTGGGTGGAGGGGGTCAGGAGGACGGGACTGAGCTGACCGCCCAGAGGACCAGGAAGGGATCTCGGGCGGACGGCCCGGGGGCAAGGCAGAGTCCAAGGTGGGGGTTATGGAGGCGCGACGGCCACCGCGGGCGAACTCAGGGGGCCGAGCATGAGGGCAAGGACTGCGGCCGGAAAAGTCAGGGGGCCGAGCATGAGGGCGAGGACCGCGGCCGGAAGAGTCAGGGGGCCGGGCCCGAGGGCGAGGACCGCGGCAGGAAGAGTCAGGGGGCCGGGCTCGAGGGCGAAGACCGCGGCAGGAAGAGTCAGGGGGCCGGGCTCGAGGGCGAAGACCGCGGCTCTCAGGGGGCCGGGCTCGAGGGTGAAGACCGCGGCTCTCAGGGGGCCGGGCTCGAGGGTGAAGACTGCGGCTCTCAGGGGGCCGGGCTCGAGGGCGAAGACTGCGGCTCTCAGAGGGCCGGGCTCGAGGGCGAAGACCAGACAGCTCCGGAGGCCGGGCAGGAAGGCGCTGACGGGACAGTGCCGGAGGCCGGGCAGGACCCGGTGTCGGAGCTGGTGGGACAGGCCTCGGCAGGATCCCCCACGGAAGAGGACCAGGACACGGGATTTGCAGGACCCCCGGCAGGAGAGCAGTCGGCGGGGCCTCCAACGGCACAGGACATAGGATTGGCAGGACCCCCGGCAGGAGAGTAGACGGCGGGACCTCCAACGAGACAGGACAAAGGGTTGGCAGGACCCCCGGCAGGAGAGTAGTCGGCGGGGCCTCCAACAGCACAGGACAAAGGGTTGGCAGGACCCCCGGCAGGAGAGTAGTCGGCAGGACCTCCAACGAGACAGGACAAAGGGTTGGCAGGACCCCCGGCAGGAGAGTAGTCGGCGGGGCCTCCAACGGCACAGGACAAGGAGCTGGCAGGACCCCCGGCAGGAGAGTAGACGGCGGGACCTCCAACGGGACAGACATACGATTGGTAGGACCCTCGGCAGAGGAGTAGTCGATGGGGCCTCCAACGGGACAGGACATAGAGTTGGCAGGACCCCCAGCGGAACCTCCAACGGACCAGGACATTGGGTGGGGACTCGAGAGGGGACTCGAGAGGGGAACCAAGGGGGAACTCGAGAGGGGAACTAGAGGAGGGACTAGAGGAGGAACTAGAGAAGGGAACTCGAGAGGGGAACTAGAGAGGGGAACTAGAGGAAGGACTAGAGAGGGGACTAGAGGAGGGAACTGGAGAGGGGACTCGAGAGGTGACTAGAGAGGGGACTCTGGTAGGAACTTGAGAGGTGACTAGAGAGGGGACTCGAGAAGGGACCTGAGAGGGAACTGGAGAGGAGACTTGAGAGGGGACTCGAGAGGGGATCCGAGAGGGGACCCGAGAGGGAACTCGAGAGGGGACCCGAGAGGGGACTCGGGTAGGAACTGGAGAGGGGACTCGGGTAGGAACTGGAGAGGGGACTCGGGTAGGAACTGGAGAGGGGACATGAGTCGGTCGGTACGCCGACAGGACACGGGGAGCTGGCGTCGTCTGGGGAGCCAACAGGAGACGAGGTGCTGAAGTCGGCCGGTACACCGACAAGACTCGGGGAGCTGGCGTCGGCTGGGGAGCCAGCAGAAGACGAGGTGCTGGAGTCGGTCGGTACGCCGACAAGACTCGGGGAGCTGGCGTCGGCTGGGGAGCCAGCCCTGTAGCCGAAACTGGAGTCGAGCCCATGGCTTCCGGGGCCGGTACTGAAGCCGGAACCATGGCTGCTGGGGCCGGAACCATGGCTGCGGGGGCCAGAATTGAAGCCAGAATCATGGCTGTAAGGTCCGGTTCTGGAGCCGGAAACATGGCTGTAAGCTCCGGTTCTGGAGCCGGAAACATGGCTGAATGGGCCGGCTCTGGAGCCGGAATTGAAGCCAGAATCATGGCTGCTGGGTCCGGCGCGGAAGCCTGGACCCTGGCTGTGTAAGCCAAGTAATCCAGTATGGACGCAAAGCTGCGTGGGCCGGTACTGGAGCATGGAGGCATGGCTGCTGGGTCCGGCACTGGAGCCGGAACCATGGCTGTTGGGGCCTGTACTGGAGCCGGAACCATGGCTGCTGGGGCTCGGGCTGCTAGCTTGGCCTTGCGACGACTCCTCTTAGCAGCCTCCTGAATACTCCGTGGACCTCCATAAGCCAGACGAGTTCCGGAATACGACTCCTGGACAGGAGCAGGAACTGGGGCAGAAGCACGGGTTGACTTCAGGCGGAACCCACCAAGGCGTATGGTGCCAGGTTGGGAATTGGGAGACAGGGAGCTAGCATGCCTGGGGCTAGCAGGCCGGGAATCACATGCTTGAAGGAAGTCCAAAATCCAGTCAGGTAAGAACTCAACAAAACATGGTTTCTCTGCGGTCAACCGGAGCGCCTCTTCTGCCGAACACTGGACGCTCCCTTCCACCAATCGAAGCAGCAAGCCATAGAAAGTTAAATGCTGTAATTCAACCTCCCATGGATAATCTGCTGGGTCTATTTTGTGGTCGGTTCGTACTGTCACGGTGTGTGAAGCAGGTAGGACCCAAATGCAGAATAAAGTGGAAATTCCTTTATTTCAAGGCTAGGTGAAAACAAAGACAAAACAGAACACTCACCGACGAACTAGTCATGACAAAAGACGAACCGACAAAGACAGACAGAAAAAACAGAACTTAAATACACACAAGACTAATCACAGAAACAAGACACAGGTGAGGAGGGAGGAAAAAACACAGGGACACCAGGTGAACACAATCGGATAAATTAGACACACCAGGGAAACTAACGACCGGGGCTGCTTCTCAGGTCGATTAAATGAAATCCTTGCTTCCCTCACTTGCGTCGTTTCCCTGCGTTTAGTCCCTCCCACCAGGGAAGCATGGAGGGACGCAAGGAAACCACGAGAAGCAGGGAAATGAGTTTTAAGAGCAATGGGACGTCCTTTCCTCCGGAGCGTCACGTGAAGCGACGTCCGTTTGTGATGACGCTGCACAGCTGATCGTCTGACAGCAGCTCTGTCCCCGTTATTTCCACACACCCCCGCCTCTGTTAGTATATCCAGTCTATGGTTAGTACACATTTACTGACACAAACATTTGTATCATCTGTTGTAGACCCAAATAAATAAAATAAAATAAGAACTCATTGTCAAAAAAGATAAACGCCATTCTTAAAATTGATAAACGAACAATAGTTTGATTAATATTGATTAGAGTGCACAATAGAAATGAAATAATTGAGAGAAGAAAAAGAGATATGTTATCTATCAAAACTCAGTTAGATTAACATTCATTGGATTGCACACTTTGTTTGTTTGTTTGGATATGTAGCACATTAACATTTTAATAGCACTTAATGACTGACTGAATGGAAATGACAATAAATGAAAATGTAAAACGAAAAAAGCGATCATGAAAATGTTTCCAAAAAATGAATTAAATGATTTTTGACCACTTTGTTGTTCAGATATATCACATATTTGTAACTAAATGATACATGAATTGAAACAAAACACGGTATAAACTGAGGAGTGACTCCCGTGAGGTTCATGTATTTTCTTCACTCTGCTCTCATGTCAAGAAGCATCAGATCAGTGCATGCACTGCCTCGTCCAATCAGTGAGCGATACACAGTAAGGGGGCGGGGTGAGTATCTGAGGATTTCATCGGAGGATGGTCTGGTGGTTCCTCGGTTATCGCTCCTCCATGATCGCTCCTCGCTCCTCGCTCCTCGCTCCTCGGTCCTCCGGCAGAAATAAGAGCCATGGGACGGTACTCAAGATGGCGCGGGCAAATCAACTTCCGGTGAGACCGAGGACCGAGGAGCGAGGAAATGAAAATAGTCGACCTGAGAAGCAGCCCGGGAACCACAGACAGATTTAAACAAGACACAACGCAGACAGAAACAGGCAAGACAGGAAGTGAAGACCTTTCAACATAAAACATGAAACAAGACAAGACACCATAAAGACAGATCGTGACACCCGTTACGTCTTTGAGTACGTGCTTTACTTTTAAAGCAATCGGTTTTTTTAAATAAATTCTCTATAACAATGTCTATCATTGTAATGTGTGTTCCTTTAGTGTGGTAAGAAACTGTGGGTTTAGTGTTTGCAGAAGTTAAAAATAGTCTGAGGAAATCGAGTGACTTCTCCAAACAATAGGGACAATATTCCAGTCCAAAATCAAGAAACGAAAAGTTTAGCTTGAAGAATTAAAGTTAGATTATCCTCGGTCCTCGATTATTCATTTTCTTCTCTGACAATCATGTTCTGGGCATTAATTAGTTTCTGAAATGCCTACGTGTTTGGTAGTGTGTTTTGTAAATAAGAAATGCATTGGATCTAAAATGTGGAGTTTCTGAGACTTCAAATATATGTTACCCCTGAATTGAGAAAGCCACCCTGAAAAATGTATATCACTAAACAGCAGTGCCCAGTTTGAGATAACACTTGATATATCCTATTATATAAATCCAGGTTGCATTGAAGTACATTATTCATTTCACTCACTTATGTGCAGTTCTAAATGCATCCTGTAATACACGTGTGTCGCCAAAAGAGGTCAGCAGAATCCTTTTTATTACAATGAAAATAGCCCATTCAATCATTCATGGTTGGTTGAAAATAGAAAATAAAGATTACATTAGACAAGTCAACAGATCAGTTTCTATTTCACTCAATGCCATATACATTAGAGATATTGTTTCCTATTATTATATTCCAACACAAGCAAAGTTTGAAACACACTGCAGTCTGATTATTCATCAGACCTTTAAATAAGTCACAAGTATATTTTCTGTTTATAGTGACGCAGCTAATATCTACCTATTGTATGAGGTACAGGTGTATGAGAGCATGTCTTTAACCAGATAGTTATGCGTTCTCTTATTTTTAAATAAGAATGCCAATGATCAAAATAATTTAAGCTCCCATCTGATATACATTGTGAGAATCTAACAAAAGTCCAAGTACAGGAAAAAACTAAAGATGCTTAAACCTTTGCTGTCTCATGTTACTTCAAAACCAAACATGCCTGATTCAGCTAGTGTATTTTTCTGATCATCTAATGGTTTTCATTAATACATATCATGTATCAAGCATGAGTAACTGTTTTCTTTGTACCTGAATACTTCTAAATGAATACATGTGGAGATACACCTATTAGGTTTTCATTGAAAGAACAAAGTGATGCAGGAGAAATGTCTGATGATGCTTTATTTAGAAAGATATCTTTTGAGAGCATTGCCCTTATGGTCTTACAAAAAACACAAGCCCTCTATTCGCACAAATTCACTCAATAAAGGTATTTATAGTTTATTGCAGTGTTTGTGAAAAAATTGTAGAGGAACAGTAACATCTCAGACCCCTCCCTGGGGGAGATACCTCCTGTCAGCCCTCCTCTCCGCTGGAAGAGTCACTCTCTCTTCCCCTCTCTACATCAGTGGCGTTTCAACCCTGATGACAAAAACTATCGACACTGTGTGGCGTCGTACTGGAGATCTGTGATTTATCAATGTGTATGGTTATATTTGCTCCGGTAAGTTTAAGCTCTCTTGTCTTGCTATTTTGTAGTTTTTGGTTAAAGTTAAATCTGCTTTAATTCACTGCTTGAAACATTATATGACTGATATTGTCAAGTGTGATCTTGATTTATTGATTAGCTGATTGGTGAAAAATCTGTCATATTGTCAGGTCAGTGCTTTTTGTTGATGTGACGTGTCGCGTAGAAACAGAGACAAATCTATTCAAAGTAGTTTACCCAATGTTCATTTCTCAATCTTAATATGCTGTGTATGAACTCTAAAGATCAAATGAATCAGAGATTTCAGACCTAAAATAAAATCTGTACTGTACTGCTGTGGCCACCCTCCAGCGCACAGTAAGCAGCTCTGTGAGTTGTCTTCCGACCTTTAAATTATGCAGGTATTGTTTTCAAACCAATTATAAATCTTAATAATCAGTAATTTATTGATGTGTATACATTATGCAGTGTGCTGCACTCAGATCTGATATTGGATTAATGAAATGTCTGAATAATTATCAACAAATGGTAAACATTTTATGGCTTCACTTTTGTTTTCCCAGATTTTTGCCATCTGTGCTTTTGCAACATGTGGAGGATACTATGGGCATCTCCAGGTTAAAGTGGACTGTGCAGGCAGGAGGCCGACTAACCTCAGCATCAACATTGATTTTGGATATCCTTTCAGGTAAAGTGGTTGATTATGTTCCTGTCCAAAAGTATTATCATCTAATTAGGTGATTAATCTACGAATACACAAAGACCCATATTTCTTGTCGTACTTTCCGGTTCCGGTGATTTCGTTCAATCATTTGATATTTGACAATTAATCTATTAACATGTTGTGCTGCAAATCAAATTGTGAATTAACCGACTAATTAACAAGCTCATTTTACTGGATGCTCAAATAGATGCATTCAGACTTACCGGACATGGCCAGACAATCGTCTCTGCGTATTTCAGAGGACCGGTCATTCAGACAGAAAAAAAAAGATTTAAAAGCTGCACAGCTTCAATCCATCATGGAGTCAGGCTCGGCAGAGGGGACCTCACCCATCTTAAAGCTCGGCCAATTTAAAAACAGGAAACTGGCCCAATTTAGGTCCAACATTTTTCACTGCAGCATTAAAACATAACTCTCAGCTAAGACTTAACTTCAGGTGGGATTTTGTGATCCGCTTTGCAATGGTGTATTTCTTTGTCCCTCTGTCATTTTGACTCCTGCACATCTGCATGTTTCATGGCCACTTAGGTGCAATATAAACACCACAAATAGTTGAATTTGTCATCCTCATTGTTATTTTGAGTAAACCATGAAGCCATTTTGTTAATTGAACGACTTCAGCATGTCTTGAGAGCGACTGGCCACCACCATTAGCATTTCATTTGATGATTGGATGGTGGGTCTGTGGATGTGAACTCTCATGCCTTGTGGTGGACCGACCCCTAACTCCATGCTTCTTCAGTGATGGCCAACAGAACTGTTAATTAGTCGTCTCATTAACAGCTCAGCTGACTTGACACTGGTGTCTGTGTGTTAGTTCACTGTCATGTAGAAATGTAACAGTAACTCAAACTGTTACAGAATTTTTGAAATGTCTTTGAAATGTTATGCTATTTCTGAAGGATGTTTTCATGTTTTCAGTAGGCACACATCTGAATAAGACTTAATTTCGGACTCTGCCTGTACACTAGAAAGATGCTAAATATGAGTACAGTACTATCTTTGCTTAGTTACTTACATATTTGTGTTAAGATAACACAGAACTGTATGTATCCAAAGGGAAATTGTTGTGCAGCAGTTTCCAAAAATACATATTTAAACACATTTATTCTAATGGTCCGCAAAGCTTTTCATAACATGTGAATGTATCTCCATTTTGAAAGTGAACTTGGAAACTGTACTACATTAGGATGTTGCTATAGTGTACTTCCTTTTGTCACATAGAAAATAACTGCTTTTTTCCGAGGCAGCGTTTTCATGAATATTGTGTCCCTTTGTATGCCACATCAAATAGTTTCTCACTTGTGTATATTTAGCCTGAACCTTCCTTTCCTAGCCACACATTTGCTAAAGAAAGAATTCTCAGAGTGCCAGTGAAGGCCAAAGTGATGCCTTTCCCACCGACTGAATCTCCTCACATGTTTGTATCATTAACTGTAAACCTCCTTTCTGTCTTGCAGATTAATAGATGTGCATTTTAAGGCTCCCTTGTGTGAGGCGAAGAGGGAAGAGATTATTTTCCTGGATGGCGACTTTTCCTCCGCCTCTCAGTTCTTCGTGACTGTGGGTGTTTTTGCTTTCCTGTACTCTCTACTGGCAACCATTGTCTACGTCTTCTACCAGAACAACTACCTGAAGAACAACAGAGGCCCGCTTGTGGTCAGTGAGCTGATATCTTTAACAAACATTCATATAATAAAACCTGAATTAGATATAAGTTATAGTGTGATATTGTTGTGTTTGTATAACATGACAGACATTACATTTACCATCCTATTAATTCATGCTTTCTTTCCACTCCTGAGCAGGATTTCGTTGTTACATCCATCTTCTCCTTCATGTGGCTCGTGAGCAGTTGCTGTTGGGCCAAATCTCTTTCTGATATTAAGACAGCCACAAACCCAACACAGGTGCTTCTGCTCATCTCAGCCTGCAGAGCTCATGAGAACAAATGCACGGCCACCCAGGAGCCTCTCTGGTCACGACCTAACACATCTGTGGTGGGTGTTCAGTCATCTAATTGTGCACTGAAACATACAAAAGGGTCAAATAAGAAACTCACTTCTGTCCCTTCTTCCTCCAGGTTTTTGGTTTCGTAAATGTTGTCCTCTGGGTTGGCAATATTTGGTTTGTCTTCAAAGAGACAGGCTGGTACAAGACAGGTCAGAGATATCCAACCAGAAGTGCTTCTGGGAAACGCCACAGTGAAATGAGGCAGCGTCTGTACATTGGGAGCAGCTTCGAGCAGCCGGACGAGGGTTACGGACCCCAACTCTCCAGACAAGGCAGTTTCAATCAGCAGGTCAACAGACAAGTTAGCTTCAACGAGTCACAAGTAAGCCTAAGTTTACCGCACGCATATCTTGGAAAACCAGTCATTTATGACAGGGACAATAAAGTAGCTTCTCAAGGGCCGATGATAATTGTCAATGAGATGTGATTTTGGGCTGGTACAATGCTCCATATGGAGAACCAGAGAGGGAAATGAATCTTAACGTCTAGGTTAAAAGGAAAACACAGATGGTATATTGTTGAGCATTTCCTGGATGATACAAGTTGTACCTTGAAATTAGAAATTGTAATGCATCACTTGACAGTCAAACTGAGTAGTCAATGCAAGTTAAAAAAAAAGATAATAATTGTTATTATTATAATAATAACAATAATAATAATAATAATAATAATAATAATAATAATAATAATAATAGAATAATAATAATAGAATAATAATAGAATGATGGGATATGTTTGGTCCCCTTTGGAGAATGGTTGATTTTAATCCCACAGTTTTGCCATAACCCAGGTTGGGGAATAAACACACATCCGTAAATAGACTGCTGATCATCTTGCAGTGAAGAAATACCATATATATATATATATATATGTATATAAAAGACAATTATTATAATCATTTTAGCCCTGCCTAGTGCAACATTTAGATGGATTTAGATTGTGCATTTACTTTAAGTATGGTGTGATACTGATTATTACTTGTGTTAAATAAAGGGTTTATTTGAGTGATGCCGAGTACAGTGGTAACAATATGTCTGTAGGTAAATATGCAAAATGGTATGTCTACCTCTGTTAACTACATGGAAGATATTTATGATTTTACAAGCTAATAGTTTTCGGACTCAGAAAAGTATGTTTTCTGTAAAGATACTACTGTAGTTATTCTGACCCCTAACCACAGTCTTTGCTTTTATAAAAAAAACAAAACGTTTTTCAATGCAGGGCCTTACAGGTGAGCTTATGTTTTCATTCATTCATTTTTTTTTCGTTTCACCCACGGTACATATTTCACATAACATATTAACTTAGAGAAGTTTATTGTCCATGATAGAAAGGAGCAGGGGGAAGAAAATCTTATTTGACCTACTCACTATGAGTTGGTCTGTTATCACAGCTGTCAGATTGCATGCTATACTAGATATTCGCGCAAAAATTACATATGAACCGTTCTTTTAGAATATACACCACTTTTGGATTGATTTGAATTTTTGTAACCATAGTTTATTTAAATTGTTTTAACTTAAAATCTTCAGAAATTCATTAAAATAATATGGCAAAGAAATGAATGCTCAGCGATTTGGTTTGGTTTAGATTTAGACTTAGATTGTGTTAATATTGAACTATTCTCACTTCATTTATTATACATCTTTCTGATTTTTACCTGTGAATGAAAAACCTTTTTTGTTTTTTCCAACTGTGTCTTCATATCTTTTCTGAAAATATTTGGCTCTGGACTGTGTTTAAAGGAGAGCCCGTGCAGATGCCTGTCTCAGAAATACACTTAACCAATTTACCAGTGTAATAGCTATGAATATTTCATGTTTGAATGTGGCATTATCAAATACATAATGTTTCAGTCAAGATTAACATTAGGATGTGTGCATATCGGTATAAATATATTTAAATTCACATTTTATTATTCTAGTGTCAAATAATAATAATCTTATCAAATAATATGTTGCAAACTAAAGAAACTAAGTTACATGATTTGGATTTTGAATAGTGTGCTCACGTTGCACTGATACCTTTATTCCCACAGTTTCTGCATTATACTGATCATTACTTTAATTGACAAAAGAGATAATCTCTATACAATTCATAACCTACTGTTCAAAATGTGTAGAGTAATTATATATGTGTGTTTTATTGTAATGAATATATTAGGCATAGTTTATTGAGTTGTAATTGGAAATAATATAATGATGATTATTAATATGAAAATATAATGATCTCATCAATAAAGCCTGTTATGGACGTTTATAATGTTCTTACCTTATGCAGCAGAACTGGTGTCTTGAACACCAGCCAGGAAAAGTATTGAATGCATCTTATAATATTACATTTGTTTTTCCAACCTCTGTATGCAGCTATAATGCGAACAATTAGAACAAAGAGAGACAATGCTTGTGTCAGCCAGCCCTCTGACAGACACACTAACCACATGCAGGTGTCCAGAGAAAGCTCTGGAAGGAAATTACAGTGTTTGAGCCCACTGCATGACAATTAGGGTCAGGTTATCAGCAGGAAATGGAGGGCTTTGGTATTCAAGAAGGCTGTATTTATCCCCTCTGAGCTGCACCATGTTATAGACTGATGTGTAACATTTATCCTTGGTAATGTCTGTATTCCCACTAGCAGCGCATGCCTTTATTTACAACCGACAGTAGTATGCTTTATTTGTATTTGTTGTATCTATACAAAAGACATCTATTGCATATCTGTCTGTTGTTGGGAGAGTCTGTCTGTCGGCTGCGAGGGTCTCAGGAGGTTTATGCTGTACACACTGTAAAGCTTCCTGAGAGAAATGTGTAATTTGTGATGTTGTGCTATAAAAATAAAATTGTATTGATTGATTAATTAATTAATTAATGTATAGGTTGATTGGTTGGTTGGCTGGGCGGTTGGTTGATTGATTGATTAATTGTAAGGTATTAAGAACGACTTAAAATTACAATATGCATTTGCTCACTTTTCTTGACACGTTTACTGCCATACAGTAGTTTATTCCACTAGAGCAGCCTTTAGTGCAATTTTCCCCTTCGGAAATGTATTCTTACATGACACATAAAAGCACACTGCAGATATGATGTGAGGGTTTGTGTAATGACATTGGCCTCCAGGGGATGGTAGAGCATCACACTTGAATGTAGCATGCATGAGTTTGTTTTTGGTCTGCAGGGTTCCCACAGCAGATGATAAATAGTGTTAATCATGTGTTTTTAAAGGAGTTTTTTTTTTATTGTCGGCAGATAAGCCTCCCTTGTTTACTTCTTCTCTTTAGAAGAGAATAATATTCTTAAACTGCCATTTCAACAGCAATTAGCTGCCATTTGTCATCATATTTCAGTACAATGCTTTGTTGCTTTAAACTTTTGCCAATTACTGTAAGACTAGAAATGTTTATCCAACACTACTTATTGGTTGAGTAGGTGTCCCTTGAATTACCTCAGGTGTTGTGGCCGCTCAAGAGGATTTAGAAAATATTATAACCAACCATAAGGGCTTAGAGCGGGGTCACGTGCTGCAACTTATTTTACAACCTCAGATCATGGATGTATAATAATAACTGGATACAGCGTGGGAGGCGGGGCCTCATTCATTCCTATGAGAGTTGCTCAATGGCGCATGATGACAAAATGGCCCAACTTTTGAGAGAGCGAAACGTCACAGATTACCCGGCATGCCTGAGAAGTACCCGTATGTGCACTCATAGAGCATGCGCAACTTTAACCACGCCGCCCAAAAGGCTCGTTCACATTAAGCACGTGAATTTGCGTACACGTAACAGCACCGCACGTTCATGACAGCGTGGTACTGGATTTATATTAACGAGGCGGCAGTTAGCAGCTAGCGGCTAGCTAGTAAATTATGCTAAATTACACATCAATCGTTATGTACTTTTATATTACGCTGACATCAGGATCTAGTGATATCCAAGCAACAGAGCTTCATTTAGCATGATACTTGTGTGGGTTGTACATGAAACCACTTGGTAATATATAAAAATGTATATGTTGAAGCCTGTTATGATCAATTGTGAGTTAAAACTTTATCTAAAAAGTAAAGCTGATGATGGATTACTGTGGTGGAGTTGAAATAATAGCCTATTTCTTTTTGAAATGTGATGGAGTAAAAGGATAGTAACTGTGATTATTCATGTTAAGTAGCCCACAAGTAACTAAAACAATTGCAAGTGCAATAAGAAGCTACAGGAACGTTAATCTACGTCGGTAATATTAACTTTATTTAATACAACATTTACGGTACAAGATTTACATCATACAGCCCATGTAGTATAATATTTTACAAATGATGAATTACAGCAAACATGTGCAATATATCCATTATTACAGCTCCGTGGGCTGGCAGTAAGGCGATATGGTCCGTTGTTATTGTGCATCCATGGGTAAAGAGAAACGCATGTAGTGCTGAACACGTAACATGAACGTGCCGGGCGGCGCGGTCCCGTGGGTTAGATGCGCGTTCATAATGCCGAGGGAAATAACTCTCAGAATAACGTTATTATCACATTTTTACAACTTGAGGAACGAATGTTTTTAATAAGGGCTATACAAACGTTCATACTGGGTAGTTTATTTAGTTTTTAAAAAATTATCCAACGATTTACAGACCACTCTTTCCCCATGTAAGTCAATGGGAAAAAGTGTTTCCGGGCCCAGCAACCTAAAGGAAGTGTAGTACCGCCGTTTGACCAGCACGAATATTTTCATTCTCATCAGACTCCGGCGCACTTCCTGGGGGCTTGCCTCAGATCCAGTGCCTGGATACGGTTCCAGGTTCCTGCTGTGCGGACTGAGGCTGGAAAAAGTGAGTCTTTTTTATTATGGTCCTTGGTCTTGGAATGACCTTCAATCACGCCTCAAACTGAGGGCACTTGTCTCAATAGCATGTTTTAAGTTGAAGTTGTCTGAGGTCCTTACCACCAGCTGCTCTTGCAGTAATAAGTAGTGCACCTTTCTTACTGTCCTAATGTGCACAATGTAGTGACTGCTTTTTCGTCTTTTGTTTTTTTAGTTATGTTCTCTGTATTTTATATGTTTGTGTTATGTGTTATGTGTAACGTTGCTGCCTTCTTGGCCAGGTCAGCATTGCAAATGAGATTGTATCTCAATGCTTTTTTATCTGGTTAAATTAAAAAAATTTAAAAAAACTTGATTTATTTTGAGTATGTACACTATTGACCTTTCATTTATGCTGAATATAAAGAGCAGACACTGATATTAAATATGTTAGATGTGTTGATTTAATTCAAACCGCATAGCAACCTCTGTAGGAAAAGCATATCCTCTCCTTCTTTTCCTGCAGCCCTTTGAGGCAACCTTTTTGTTTGGGGGATATAGAAATGAGACTTGAATTGACCATTACAAACCTTGGTAATCAACCACACTTTATAAATATATTTATATTTAAAATCCGTAAATGTATAAACATTTCAATTAATGTCAATTAATCAGACTGGTATGTATAATTCAAAGACAAAGTAACACAGGAGTAGATTTATTTTCTGTCACTCATTATCTGAGGGGGCGGCTCACCCTTCACCTTAAATTGCTCCTGTGGGTATTGTCCACAGTATTGAATGTATTACATGTCTAATATATAATGTAAAGCGCTTTGAGCACTTGGAAAAGCACAAAAATGAATACCATGAATTGTTATAATTATCTTATCTTTATTTTTCATATATACATACAGTTAATGCCATTGTACTAGTAAAACATAAAAACAAGAAAATATCCCATGTTGGATACATATTCACCATAGATGAAGAAAGGTGATGATGTTTCAGCAAGTGTAGCTTGGTTTGACAGTTGAGGTTTGTTCGCTGGTGTGACAGTTCATTCACACTCACTCACTTACACACTAATTTGTTTTATTTATTTACCCTTGTTCACACACAAATGCTGTGCAACCTCTACAGCAATTGCATTTCATTACAATTGTTGGTTTATAAATATTAACAGATGAAATGTAATTTTGCAGCATCCTTATCCAGAGTCCGTTCATCAAAACTATAAATCCATTCGGCAAAAAGTTATCATTAGGAACATGTCGAAAATGATGATATCATTGTGTTTAAGACACAGAGGACACTTCTGTCTTGCTGGCAGAGACTGAGGTCTCATCCTCCACCATGCCGCCCATTCCAATGGCGCTCAGCATGCAGTTACGGAACTGAAAAAGAGATAAAAAAAAAACAAGTGCATGGTTTAGGATTGAGCAAAGATGAAAAAGCAGATTTTAGAAACTGGACTAGGGAATATTTAATATATTCAGCCCACCTGTTTGTTCAACAGCACGTAGATAACAGGGTTGTACAGGGCTGAGCTCTTTGCAAAGAAGGCGGGAATAGCTGCTGTCAGGGCGCTGAAGGCAGCTCCCTTGTTCAAGAAGATCCAACCAGCAAAAGAGGCATATGGCACCCAAGCTACCAGGAATCCAAAGACCATCAGGAGGCACATGCGTGTCACTTCCCTCTCAGCCTTCTGGGTGGACTCTGACTCCTGCTGCTGGGCTGCAGCCTAACGTTTTTGTGATCAGAAAATCATCATTAGGATTCACAGCACACGTGGTTTTGCAGAATTCTAAAATGAAAATGACAGTTGTATTTCTCAAACGTTTTTACTTTAAGGAAAACATTTAAAACACTTCACTTACGGCTTTGACTGTCAGGACAAGGCTTCCGTAAGAGAAGAAAATTAGGAAAACGGGAGTGAAGAAGTGGACACAAAATAAGTACATGACGTATGATTCATTGTTGAAGCCTGGAGCCAGAGTGTAGTAGTCAGGTCCGCAGGAGCACTGCAGGCCCTCAGGAATGTATCTGTAGGGTTAAAGAAGGAAAGTGGTAGTAAATATTTTAGACTTTAGACTGTCTACAACCTATGCATTACCAGTATGTAATTACATCTATCTATGCACTTTCTTAAAACTGATTGGTTTGTTTGAGTGTTTCTCAATGTTTTTAAAATCTTAGTGGTCAAGTTTCAGAGGTTTAAACTCATTTTTATTGTAAGTGAAATGACAAATACAAATGTGAATTACCTAGACCAGCCAAACAGTGGGGGTCCAGCACATGCGAAAGCCATGACCCAGGTGATCCCAACACCAATTCCAGCGTGAGTATTACTGAATTTAAAGCTTCCCATGGGTTTGCAGACAACAATGTATCTCTCAACAGCCAGCACTACCAGAGACCAGAGAGACACCTGACCTGTAGAGAGGAAGAGCATCTTAGACAAGATTCCTACAAATTAACTTTTACCTTTGTAATATCTTAGAAGGAAGGTGATGATCACTATTTCTGAATCTTTGTCAGGTTTAACAAATGTCTATTGATTAAATCATTTTCTCACTGAAACAACCTGAAAATCACAAACTGCCATTAAAGAACCCCAATTCCTTACAAAGTACTTCCAGCTGCATGGGTTAAACTTGTAGGTGCATTTGAATTAGCTGTTCAACAAAAAATATGAAAAATAAAGTTAAATTCATACCTCCAAGTGTGGCCAGGAATCCCTCCATAGCACAGAAAGTGGGGCCAAGAATGAAGTAGCCGTTGATAGCAGATGTGAAGGTGATGGTGAATCCAAAGGCGCACATGATCAGCCCAGCCACAGACAGGTTTACCAGGATAAGGTTGAGAGGCGTCTGGAGCTTCTTGTTCTGGATTGTTACTAGCAATGTCAGAGCGTTAATGGGAGTTCCAGTGAAGATCAGGAAGACCATGTAGAAAGCTAGAAGCTTGAACATGATGGGATCTGCCATATAATACTGGTTGTATTCATAAGGACTTCTAACAATCCCAGTCCTGTTGGACATCGGGATGTAGAAATTATTGCCTTCTGTGCCATTGGGCTCCATTCCTCCGTCCCAAGCCATCTTCAGTTGTCTTCTTTGCTATATCTACAATTAATGGACTGCAGTAAAAGTATGAGATGTCAAGCGAGTGGATTAAGACAACTCCCAGGGCTTATGCTGTTGTGGGTGTTTTATACCCTGAGGTTATCCCTAACTTGTCAATAATAGATCATAAGAGGATTGTGAGGAATTAGGCTGCTCAAGTCTCAACACTCTCTGAGCATATATTTAAATTCTCCTTCTCACAGTCATAGAATTAAAATAGTCTTGGGAAAACGTTTTTTTTCCATTAATTGGTATATTGAAAATAAGTTTACAAGGTAACTGAAACGTATTCTCTCAAATATTAGCAGCTATACTATTTAAAAGAGAATTCATAACTAGTCAACCTATTACTTGTTTAAGTATTGCAGGAAAGATAAGTGAGGGATTTAATTCACAAATATTAATTTAACAATATCTCGATCTGCGCACAGTTTATAACCTGCATGCAGTATATGCATTAGATACCATGCAGTGTGAGCGAAATGCACTTTATACTGTATGAGCAAATGCAGTTCAATGTTTCCCCTCTCTGCTGTGTTAAACTATGACTTATTTTCCCTCTGTTGAGCCCACCGGAGGGCGCTCCCACCAGAGATATGTCTGCTTTCAGCAATCTATAGGCTGTAATTCAATCAGTCCTACACAGTTAACTCCGGGACAGGCATCTGACTTTCCTTTTTTGCGTTCATTAAAAAACACATTTTAATTTCTTTAAAATATCGCTGGACGGAATTCAGGCATAAGGTAAGATAACATATACTTTATTGATTCCAATTTGGAATTTTCTATCCATGTAAAACAGGGGTATTCAACTAAAATTCAACGAGGTCCAGTTAGAGAAAATCTCCCCATGCATAGGTCCGGAACATCAAAATGTCTAAGTTGCTTTATGAATTAGTGTGATATATATTGCAGTAGCCTATAGCTTTATCAAGGTCTGCATTAAATCAACAACTGACTGCCAATCAAATAAAGAAAGTACAATTCAAAAACAACAATATTTATTGTCAATTAACATTGAACTATACAGATATACAGTAAAATACTATGTATAATGTTCCTCTCGGGCTGCAAGAAAATAAATAAAATAGCTTTTGAAAATGTGTGGATGTCAAAAGTGCTTAATTTTAGATAAATAAAATTAATTGTGTAGCAGCAGCTTGAGTTTCCCTTTTTCTTTGTTAACCGTTTCACATCATGACTTAGTTTCAGACGATTATAGAACAATATCAGTGTTTATACATCATAACAATTGAACAGTTTCTCTTTCTTTCCCTCTTATATTGCAGTCCTCACTCGCTTTTTTTTGTTCAGTGCGAGAATGACGTTGACATAAACCGAGCAAAACCACACACACAGTGCATAACAACGAACTCCAGTGCACGCTATTACGGGCACTATATAATAGAGCACGCACAAAAGCGCGATCACACACACACTATTAAGATGTCAAATATTATTTTACCAACAATGTGGAATTTACATTCATTGAATATGCTATCAAGGCATTGCTAATTCCTGGCTACATATTACACAGATTCTGCGTATAATAATGCCCTGCCCCTGCATCCTTTATTTCAATCTTTTTAGCAGATTTAGCGTTTTTAGTGAGAAAGAATTCCGAGATAGTGTTTGTGCCATATCAGTTACTTGTCACGTGTGTCACGTTAAAAGTAGCCGACTAAAAACTAACAAAAAACTTTTTTTTCACATCTTTTTTATTTTTCTTCCCTGAAGCTAAATAATTGATTATTTAGTTTAAAATTATAATTTTAATAATAATATATAATATAAAATATATTTCAGGCAGGGGCGGACTGGCCATTGGGAATACCGGTGTTGTGTCAAATTATGCACTAATGTCGCTATTCTATGTTGTCTTTTTGATGGTTGGATTGTCGAATCCTGGATTTTGCATTCATTCGTCACTTATTTTTATTTAATATATGTTTTTATTTAATTGTGACGTCCTGTCTGTATACTTTTGCTTGTACTTGTGCTTTACAATGTATTGTTTATTTTTACATCAAGTGCTTGAGGGTGGGATTAATATAATTTTTTTTATTTTGGGTGGTGCTTTTTATGAATTGCCTGGTTGCCACGATATGCACCCTTTGCTATCTCTGACAATAAACGTGTCACATACATGAAACTTGCTCCATTTATTGGTACTGGTCCTACAACTCCAAAGTGCTTGAGGGTGGGATTAATAGAAGCATCTTTTTGGGGGGGGTGCTTTTTACGGCAGGCCAGGGGTGCATAATTTGACACAACACCTGTTGGACAATCCACCGCTCTCTCCTCTCCGCTTCTCTCTGCCGCTCTCTCGTCTCTCTCTTCTTCTGTGTGTCTCTCCCTGTATCGCTCACTCGTCTCTTTCTCGCCGGCGGTTAAAATAGAATCGCCTCGTCAAAATGTAAATCCCCTATTAATGTATTGATTATAGGTCCGGGTCCATATAGGTCGGCGTCTGGGTCCGGATCCGGACCGCGGTCCGCCTGTTACTGAACTATGATACATGGTTTTGTAGTAGGCTGCATTTTTTTTGCATTATTGACCTCAATCAGTCTAGTTCACAATGTTTTGGAATGCGATGTTTTTCTTCACCAAATAATGCAAGCAATGCATTTGTAATGTTGACAATAAAACCACATAGCCTAATTACACGTAGCCTATATGTTCTACACTTTGTTTAGTGTTTCGGCGAAATACGTATAGGCTACATAATGAGTATACATTGACATCTTGACAAAAAGCCAAACAACTTAATACGCAGTAGTAGCCTATTCAAACGGAACAGCTGAGAAGAAATCCAGATAATCACAGCTCACAGACGTCACTCTCAAAGACCAGCTCCTGGGGGCGGGGCTTCAGCTTGAAATTATGATTTGATAATTGGTCTCATGTAGAACACTATGTAGAGTTTCGTTTTTAGTGGTAACAATACTGACAATATATGGGAAACAATAACTTATTTACTTCAGATTTTTAAAAAGTGACACACACATACTCTCTGGTGCTTAACATTTTGCTTTTTATATCAGGTACACAATTACAATGTAACATTAACAAATTACATTTCAAATGTATAGTTTAGCTTTAGCATATCATTGCTGTAAACAACTGTACACATCAAATATTGAAAGTTAAACATTTGCAGATGGACACAATAGAAAGTAATGCAATATGACAGTTTTACAGTTTTACTCACAGCTCTAATTTTAACTGCATTAAAACATATGCACACTCAGCAAGCACCAACATGAGGCAATGATTCCTTCTTAGCTTTCTGAGTTGTGTGGCTCATTGTGCAGCAGGAATAAATTCAATGTTTTAAGAGTTCAAGGCACTGTGGGTAGCAACACTTTTACGGTCAGCACAATGGATCTATAACTGATAAGAAATGTTTGTATGTAATGTAGTGTTAATCATGTGTTTTTAAAGGAGTTTTTTTTTATTGTCGGCAGATAAGCCTCCCTTGTTCACTTCTTCTCTTTAGAAGAGAATAATATTATTAAACTGCCATTTCAACAGCAATTAGCTGCCATTTGTCATCATATTTCAGTACAATGCTTTGTTGCTTTAAACTTTTGCCAATTACTGTAAGACTAGAAATGTTTATCCAACACTACTTATTGGTTGAGTAGGTGTCCCTTGAATTACCTCAGGTGTTGTGGCCGCTCAAGAGGATTTAGAAAAGATTATAACCAACCATAAGGGCTTAGAGCGGGGTCACGCGCTGTAACTTATTTTACAACCTCAGATCATGGATGTATAATAAGAACTGGATACAGCGTGGGAGGCGGGGCCTCATTCATTCCTATGAGAGCTGCTCATTAGCGCATGATGATAAAATGGCCCAACTTTTGAGAGAGTGAAACGTCACAGATTACCCAGCATGCCTGAGAAGTACCCGTATGTGCACTCATAGAGCATGCGCAACTTTAACCAAAATGCTCGTTCACATCAAGCACGTCAATTTGCGTACACGTAACAGCACCGCACGTTCATGACAGCATGGTAATGGATTGTTGTTATCATGGATTTGATATGAACGAGGCGGCAGTTAGCAGCTAGCGGCTAGCTAATGCTAATGTACACATCAATCGTTATGTACTTATATTACGCTGTAACAGGATCTAGTGATATCCAACAGTACGGAAGAGGATTAGGGCCACATAAACATTTTTTTGTGAGGATTTGAATAAAATATTATTTTTTTTTTTTCTGAGAAAAAAGTCAGAATTCTGAGATTAAAGTCAGAATTCTGACTTTTTTTCTCCCAAAAAAAATAATGTGTTTTTGTTCTGAGAAAAAAGTCAGAATTCTGAGATTAAAGTCAGAATTCTGAGATTAAAGTCAGAATTCTGACTTTTTTCTCCCAAAAAAAATAATGTTTTTTTGTTCTGAGAAAAAAATCAGAATTCTGAGATTAAAGTCAGAATTCTGACTTTTTTCTCAGAACAAAAAATAATAATATTTTTTTCAAATCCTCACAAAAATATTTTTATGTGGCCCTAATCCTCTTCCGTACAACAGAGCTTCATTTAGCATGAAATAATTATTGCACTGTATATATATATATATTTATATATAGCCTATTTATATACAGTGCAATAAGCTTTTTAGTGCAATACGAAGCAACAGGGACGTTAATAATGTCGCTAATATTAACTTTATTTAATACAACATTTACGGTACAAGATTTAATCATACAGCCCATGTAGTATGATAATGAATTACAGCAAACATGTGCAATATATCCATTATTACAGCTCCGTGGGATGGCAGTAAGACGATCCGTTCTTATCCATGGGTAAAGATCACATGTGCAACTCACATTGGTTTCTCATACAGCATCTCTGTAAACTACTTGTATTCACTGAATTTCACTCTCTGCCTTTAACGGCTCGTTGTAGCTCCAATAGCTCCAGCCCCACCCTCCCTATGAGCACAGTGTGCTCTGATTGGTCGGG